CCTGCCTCCCTTTGTGAAAAAGGACATTCTTGTCCGACTTCCTGAAAGAAAGGAGCCGCAGGGTATCGGCTTCAGCTACATGGCTGGGCGGCCTGTGTGTGCTGTCCTGACTGAAGGGTCTCGTCCAGCTGCTTTTTGAAAGAAGCCAGGCTGTCGGCTTGGTCAACACGGCTGGGTAGTTTGTTCCAGTCTGCCACAAGTCGCACACGGGAGGAGCCCTTCCAGTCTGTTCAGTCGTTAATTGATCCAGGGATCTCATCCAGCTGTTTCTCGAAAGAAGAGGGACTTTGACTTCAACAACGTGGCAGCTCTGAACATACAAGTTCGAACAGGAGGCCTGTAACTCCTGTTGTCGGTATTAAATGCTCTTTGCTGTAGCTTCCACTTGCGTCCCCTGGTTCGTGTACAGAAGCTCTCCCAGTGCAGCGTGACCACAGGGAGCAGTCTCCCAGAGCCTCCTGTGCCAGCTGGGCTAGCTCTCGCCCCTGTCCAGCACGTCTCGTGTGCGGTGTGCTGTCAGGCTGCGGCCATCCTGATCCCAGTCCGTCGCGGAGCTTTGCTCCAGCCAGCTCTGTGATCCACTGGTGGGAACAGGATCGGTGGGGCTATGGGGGTTGGTGGTTGGAGCCAAGACCTGCAATGGAGTGGACTGGACCGGTCCGAACACTTCATGCCTCACTTGACGTAAGCGAGCAGCACGTGGCGGTAAACGCGCCAGCGTGGCGTGATTCATCTCCAGGGTGCGATGTGAGCTGTGTACTTCAAGCTGCCTTCTCTGTCCAGCAGTCTTGCTCACCGTACCTCTGTCCTCGCTTCTTCCTCAGTACTGGGCGTTCTCCGATATCCAGACCGGCCGAGTGCTGACCAAGGTGACCGACGAGGCTGCTGGCTGTGGTGAGTCCCCTCTCTGTCCCCCATCAGTCTGCTAGCCCTGCGAGAATCAAGCCCTTCAACTTGCAAATGTCGTCATCATCATAGGCTGGTCTGTGGAGTCTGGGGTGAGAGGTCAGCCAAGGATCAGTGACCTGCTGTATTATGGAGTAGGACAGGATAGGAACCTGCTACTGTCCCAGTGTGAATTAATAGACGGGTGCACGGCTCATGGGTGACGTTCCTCTTCCGGGAGTGAGCTCTAGCAGGAGTCCAGGAGTGTCTGCGCTTTCACCCTCTTGGCCACTCCTGAGCGCGTCTCCTCGCAGGGAGGAGTTCGGATCAAGTGCTCCTGGTTTCTCAGGCCAGCTGTTTGCTGATGTTTCGTGTTGTCAGCATTCTGTTAATACTGGTGTTATTGTAGTTGTCTGGCAGTGATCCACCACTGGAGTAAGGGTCCCTCACAATTTGTTCACAGATAAGTTTATCATAATATTGTTTCCCCATCATCCTCGGCTCTAGCCTGTGCTCCAGCTCCACCTGTATTTGACGTGTTTCCCCATCATCCTCAGCTCTGGCCCCTGCCCCAGCTCCACCTGTATTTGACGTGTTTCCCCATCATCCTCGGCTCTGGCCTGTGCCCTAGCTCTGCTCGTGCAGGCCTGGTGCCCCCTCACTGTGCCTGTTGTTAACGTTGATGTTTCATGTCTGCTGTTTCAGCCCTGACCTGCGCCCAGTTCCACCCTGACGGGCTGATCTTCGGCACGGGCACGGCCGACTCCCAGATCAAGATCTGGGACCTGAAGGAGCGCACCAACGTGGCCAACTTCCCCGGCCACAGCGGCCCCGTGACGGCCATCGCCTTCTCCGAGAACGGCTACTACCTGGCCACCGGCGCGCAGGACTGCTCCGTCAAGCTCTGGGATCTGAGGAAGCTGAAGAACTTCAAGACCATCACGCTGGACCACTCCTACGAGGTGAGGCGGCCAGTGTGCCCCACGCTGGGTGGGGGGAGTATGAGGGGGTCAGGGGTGCCCTGTCCCAGGCAAGGGGCCAGGGGAACAGACCTCTTATCCTTCATTATCCTTCATATTGAAAATACTGTACCACAGGTGGACAGTGTGATGGGAAAGGGATAGTAAATCTCGTTGCTGGACTCGGAGAAGTGATGCACCTTCCAAAATCTTTCTGGGCTCTGGAGAATAACGAACAGGGTTAATAAACCCTGGTGAGCCTGCAGCTCTGCTCTCCTGTCCCCGAGTCCGCGGTCTCGGAGGAGCTGGGGGAAATCGGGGAGGAGCGCTGCAGTATTGAGAGCGCTCCTTCTCTGCGCTTTCGCAGCAGCTAAGAAAGCGTCGCTTCTGACGTGCGGCGGGTTCAGGGTGCGCTAGGACTTAAGTCAGGCAGCGGGTGTGTGTTTGGTGCGCTTGACGCACCGAACGGGAGTTTCCTGGGGCCGCGGGCTGGGTGGCTGCTCTGGGGGGCTGCGGGACGTCGCTGGGCCCTGCTGACGTCCCCCTTCTCCGTTCGCAGGTGAAGTCCTTGATATTTGACCAGAGCGGAACTTACTTGGCAGTAGGAGGGTCTGACATCAGGGTCTATATCTGCAAGCAGTGGTCTGAAGTCCTCAACTTCACCGGTAAGAGCATCTTCCTGAAGCAACACTCTACACAAACTAAACTCCTTTACTCCTTTAGCTTTTAACAACCAACCTCTACTGTAACTGGACTGTGACTGCCTACTGTATTACCCC